GAAAGAAATCTCGGACGGCTAAAAGAAAAACTTTGAGATGACAGGACACGAAAACGAAATCGTTTCGTGATCATGATTTCTCTAACGAATTATTTTCTATTACACTTACGTGTATTTTTTCTTTGCTTGTTTTTCTTTCTTTTTTTTTTTTTCGACATGATTATCGAATAATAGAAAATAGTACTTAAAAATTATTAGTTTCGCGTGAACATCGAGTGAGAAATAAATGAAAAGGAAAAGAAATAAAGCGCGATATTTTTTTTTTTTTTTTTTTTTTTTTTTTTTTTTTTTACTACTTTATCGAGAGAAACAGATAATGGCGGTACAGTAGGATAACGCAAGCTCTCGATTCGAGTCGATCGATGTGCGATAGAGCAGAGGATGTGACGGATAAATAGCAGGCAAGGTGGATTCTATGCCGGTCCTCGAGACAGCTCCGTCGTTCGAGTTTGCTCAAAGGGTGGCTTTCGTTCCTTTGAAAAGAGCGAGGCACCGTCTTGCGCTCGAATGCCGTTCTACTTAAGAACGATTAATAGTGCTGCGTGATTAATGATAAGGTCTACTTCTGCGTAACGAGTAACGGAGGATATCGATTTGCGAGCGCGATGAAAGCCATCGAGAGGAGATTTCTGAATAATTTTCTCGAGGATTAATGAAGATCGCAATCTGTAGGTGACAATCAGGAACGATACACTCGACGTATTTATTAATAATTGAAAGAGAATAATGACAGATTTAAAAATTCCTTTATAAATTTATAATTTATCTCTGTGATTATACGTAGGATTCATGTATCCCGTGAGATATGTAAAATTATTAATAATATGAATTTGAATTTATTTTAAAACGTATTATCTGATCTAATGAAAAATCTAATTCTTTCGAAATGGCTGCTTTGGAAAGTAACGCACTTTTTGCTAGTTTAAAAGCGGCTCGGTTTACGAATTGGTTGAAAAGTTGATGGGACCATGGCGATGGAGCTACGCTAAGTATCGTCAACTAAGTGAAACACGAGATGCAACTTATACGGATCGAAACTTTTCCCAACTATCTCACGTTCTCTTGCTTGCATAAACAACGTGTCGCGAAAGACTGTTTCCTACGAAGCCAATGTATGTTCTACATATACGATGTGTGCACGTGCACGACAGTGGTTGTGATACTTTAGGTAAACTTTTGTTCTCTCGAGGTAGACTTTTCTTAGCGAACAATAAAACTTTTTGGTTCAGGATCCTAGCTCGACTTAATTCTCGACTAATGTCTTTTACTTATCACGTTCTCGTGCCATTTTTTCTTTAAACGATCGACCTTACGAAACGTTCCATTCTTGTCTCCAATCTCTTCGGACCAATCGTATATACCACCGAATTTCATTCCGGTCATTTTCTAGGATACGTTCTTATCCCTCACGGAGAACACAGGATAAGGGGAAGAAAACGATTTGGAGAGCGACGAAGTAACCACGCTTTGACGATCGAACGAAATTCGAGTTGTATGGAGACGTGTTCGTAAGAAAGTAGACTATGGCGGAAATCGAAATTCGATTTTGGCGCGTTATCGTATCGATTTTTATAGAAACGTAATGTAAGGTAGAAACGTAAGTTGGATCAAAAGAATGAACCCACTTGGTAGCTTCGATCGGTTTCAAATTTTACGGAAACGTGCGATAAATTTCGTTCTCGCTTTATTTTTCTTTCGACTTTATTCCTTCTTTTGTTTTATTTAAATTTTTAGTTTACACTCCCGAGGCATTAGTATCTTTCGCCTAGCTATTATTAACCAGGAAACTTTAATTACGCTGCGGTTACGTTGATTTTCATAATGTTATTTAATATCTCCTCCATTGTAGAAACATGCTTTATATCGAACATTTCGTGAATTAATTATCTCGTATCATTAAACGTTTCACAACCACAAAATCACCGCAGCTTTTTAGTGATGGTCTTCCACGAGAGAGTAAGAGAGACAAGTAGAGAAAATGAGAGAGTGTATGCAAACATACTAATACCGATACACAGAAGTAACACGATAAAATGACATATGGTTTTGCGAAAGAGAAAGAGAGAGAGAGAGAGAGAGAGACATTTACTTTATTACGAAGTAACGTGATTCGTAAAGGTAGCAACATCAATTTAATTATAATTCTCTTTGACGCCATTTCTATCGCTTGACAATTTTCTCTGGATGACGACGCGTAAGCGAATTTTAAATAGAAAAGTATTCCTTTGATCTAAACTCTTCTCGTATATCGTCGTAACTACGACGCGTTGTCTCTCTCATTGTTTCGAAACGTCAAGTATCGCGATCCGAGCGTCGATTCAAAAACAAATACTTCCGGATGGACACTTCCGAGATTCCAATATATCACTCTTAAACATTTTTCTCCGATCGCAAATGACAGTTTTCCTGAAAAAAAAGAAAAAAAAAGAAAAAAAAAAGAAACAAAAAATGACATCGACGAGAAGAGGATTCTGCACTTTTCAATCGAGAACACTTGAACACGAGCAAGCGACACTTTTCTTCCGTTCCTTTGACATCGAACTTTTCACGTATCTCTCGTATCTTTCGTAATCTCTCTCCTCCTCTCTATCTCTCTCTCTCTCTCTCTCTCTCTCTCTCTCTCTCTCTCTCTTTCTCTCTCTCTTTCTCTCTTAACGTTGATTACATCTACGTGAGCGTTCGATCGTATCTCTTCTCAAAGTGTACCTCTTTTTTATAATCCGTACACGATTGTTAATTATATTACAAAAGGAATGCAATTTACTTTATATAAAGCTCTCAGAGATAATAAAAAAAAATTGTAATCTTGTATCGAAGTGCTACGATATGAACGTAATGTTCCTACGTAACATATCGAATTAGCCTTCTCTACCCGCACAAATATATATATATCGGATATATTATTTGATTCACGTCGCGTTTGTTCAACTACAGTATATTAATATAATTAATATAATAAGATGTCACATCGTTATCATTATCCTATTGTCGATCGATCTAAAAATAAAAAGGATGAATGGTTCCCTTTGTTTCATCTCTTTTCGCTAGTATAAATTCGAATCAAAGGATGAGTAATCATTATGCCGTAAACCGAATGAAATTTGCTTTATGTAAAATAATTAATTGAAAATTTGAGGGAATATTGTAAAGTTCTTTTTTTTTTTTTTTTTTTTCGGGAACAAGGTATCTCTCTACCGATTCAAGGGGACTCACATATTGTAATATTTACTTTGGAGTGGTTGTATCAACGAAGAGCTGCCATTGCTGCTGCTATTTGGTCTGTGCCGAGCACCTGCAATTGCAACTGCACTCTCTCGTACCATTCCACTTTTTAACGTACTGTAGAGTAAATCGAATCCTTTCGTATTATTTTATTATTTATTCATACGTCGCGTTCATCAGTTTTACGAATTACGATAAGTACACCTGCTTTAATTATTCTCGAGAATTATTAAATAGAAAAAAAGAAAAGAAAATAAGAATAAAAAATCAAAAACGGTAGCAGATCGTTCAATTGAAATTTGCTATAAGGCAAAAAGATTTATTTCCATCGATATCATTTAGTTCTTCATTAAAAAATTTATTTGAAGAATACTTAACGATGATAGTAATTGAAACAATTCTATCAAATGTTTATCGTTGTTACATATTTTAACCACACTAAATGAATAAAAGTACGATCTATAGATCGAAACGATGAATATCTTAGTGGGTCGTTAGTAAAAATCGATTCGCACTATATATCTCTTATATATATATACGTCAATGATAAAAACCAAAGTGGAAATAGCAATGAGTGGTTACTCTTTCTATCGAAGCATCGACATAGAAATTTCGATTTCCGGTTGCGAAAAACGTGAAAAAATGGCACTGGGTTGGAACATTAATTTACGATTACATCGAGGTAATCGAGTTAAATTTTGCACAATGGCGAACGAATACCGAGTGCTCAGAGATCCATACGTCGTCTACTGTCATCAATTTTACAGGTGCAAATGACGCTTACAATTCGCGCGGATTAATTATTCCGACGATTCTGAGGATTTTGACGTATTCTATTCTTGAGGTTAACGACACGTCGAGAATGAGTTTTACGCTCGTTATGAATATCTACTCGTGTGTCAAACCAATGACAAATTTAATATCAATTAAAATGAATAGTATATAAATTATTTAAATTAAAATGAATAATATCATTGTACGAAATGATTGGACATATGAAAATATAATTTTAAATTTCGCGAAAGATAAAATACGATTCCTTCGAATGAAAGTTAAAATAAAAAATATGTTACCATTTTCAGAGAGGTACGATATTCCGAGAGCAATACGCGTGTCGTCAAAAGAGGTACCTATATATACACACACACACATATATCTATATATATATATATACACGAGTGATATTAATTGGAATGAAAAGAGGAAGAGAGAGTGGCGTAAGAGGGCTACGGAAGACACGAGAGAGGGAGGAGGGTTTTCTCGGAGCGATCAATAGACCGAGGAAGGGCCGTGGAAGCGCGACCGGCGACCAACTCTGTCTGGGCATCGATCCTCGCGTGTGCCACGTATACGCGACTACTTTCTCTCTCTTTCTCTTCTTCCTCCAATACCTTCCCCCTAAACCTCTCTCGCTCTCTTCGATAACCGACTGCTCGATAGACGTTCTGCTGGTTCCACCTATTCACCTGTCCGTCTTCTTTTTATGTAAATCAGCCTGGATTTACTTGGTCCTTTCTTCGATTACTTTTCATGGAACTGAACATGATCTATCGAATCATTAAAATTTTACGAAAACGATATCCAATTTTCCGGTCAATATTTTCGACCATTGATATATTTAATTTATTTGATCGATAGACGAATAGGATAGATTTTTTCTCCCTCATTTATCATCGCTGAATATTATACTTCTTACGATTAATAGATAAAACCATGCGGTGTGCTGAAAGTGAATAGTGAAAGGCAAGCACGTACGACCTGTTAGATTATTCCCTTACCTTTACTACTACCGGTGGTTTTGTCGCGTAGAACGTTGATCTGATGCACTCGGCCAAACTCCTCGAACAACGTTCGGAGATCATTCTCGTCCATGTCGTGGGGTACCTGCCCTACAAACATCTTTATATTGTCTGGATCCGGCTGCTCCACGCTGTTATTGTTCATTATGCTGTAACATCATAAATAAGATTCATTAGATGAACATCGAAGCTCGTACAATTATGTATTATGAAATTACACGTTACATTGTTTTGCACCCGATCAACAAATTTTATTTTTCGTTCGACAAAAAAAGTCTATTCTGATTGAACAACCTCATTGAAATATATTTTTCTCATAGCTAATTTTGATTACGATTCGATCGATCACGACACAGTTTAATGTCAAATTTTTACATTAACGTAGTCGCGACGGAATCGAAGTCGCGTATAATTCAGTATATCGCTGGTGCGTATACGGGCAAATGACTGCGTTCTGTTTGATTATCGCGTGTACATATTTGACCGTTTTCACCCTCCTACGTACATATCCGCTTTGAAAACTTACGCTTTCGGTTCGTTCGCGTTGATTTGTCGCAAACCGGTCACGTTTTATGGTATATTGTACAAGAGAACTGGATCTTTCAAGTGAGACTTTCCCTCCGCATCTTTCAAACATTATTATACTACTAGTCCTCAATAGCCACTGTCATTATTTTGCCACTCCTAACACTGTTTGGCCACATACAAGTTGACCTTAATTTTCTGCTCTCTTGTCGTCATCAATCGATTCCGCATTAATTTCCAATCGAAGGGAACGCGATGATATCGTGTCGTGTTTAAACGATTTTATCGTACTTTCTCATATAGATCATGTATATACATATATATATATAATATCGCCGGCTATTTGTAATTATATTCATTAATTAACAAAATTTATGTAATTTTGTCAAAATTATTCGCACTTCTCTAATCAAAGTTATATAAAATTAAAAAGATCGTTTCAACTTATTTCCTAAACATTTTGTTAAAAAAAAAAAAAAAAAAAAAAAAAAAAAATAAAAAAAGAAAAATGCGCACAACATTATTCTAGCAATTACTTAACAAATCGATGAGAAAAACCGTGAATAAGAGGATCGATGAACGGGCACACGTTGCGTTTTTTTTTTTTTTTCTAACTTCTTTCGAGCCGCGATACAAGCAGTAACACGAGGAGGACGTTAGCGCGCGGTTAACCAGTCGGCATGAGTTATGAGCATCGTTGAGTGAGGGTCGGTTATATGAGCGGAAGGCATTACCATTTCACGCTACGGACGCGAGAGTTTGTTGCGCCGTAAAATCGCGCCTCCATGAAGCTCACCGTTAAAATACTGAACCGATGAGCATCGCTTCGTCGCTCGTCGTTCCTTCTGTCGCCTCGATAAATTACGTAACTTCAAAGTTCTCCTTTCATTTATTCCATCCTACTCGCCATTTCAAGTTTTTTGTTGTTATTTTTTTATTCTTTTATTTCTTTTTTTATTATTATTCTTTTTTCTTTTTCATTTCAGAAGTTATCCTCTTTGGTCGAGGACCACTGAGACTCTTTGAAGTTCTTTTACTTACGACTATAAAGTTGGTATGTACGTAAACATATATTTGCATAAACTTTAGACAAGTTCGCAATTTTTATCAATAATATCAAGTATTATCAAGTAAAATATTCATTCGATAATACAAATTATTTTTCTAAGTAATCGTTCTCGATATTATTCCTTGAGATTATCAGAAAAATTTAATTTCGTTCGTATAGAATATTGAAAATGTGTTATGTAAAATATTGCAAATACGAATACGTACATACGTATTCGAACGTGACTCAAACAACGATTTATCAAGACTCTTAGAGTGTATCGATAGCGTCGCTCGGAGGTATGCAAAAGATGAAGCCGAAATAATAGCGGAGGCGGCTCGTAAAGCTCTCGTTCGGGGATGCCTAGAGGCTTGGCATAGAGGAGGCTGGGGGTCTTTCCTTTCGATCGGATGGTTCCGAAAGAAAAAAGAAAGTTAGGGAGAAAAGAGAAAGAGTTGGAAAATTTCGCGAAAACGATAGAAGAAAGTTAATATTAGCTGGTGAGGTTTAAAGCGATTTTTCGCTCGGCTTGCTCCTCTCATCTTCGTCTATACTAGCAACGCGCGCGAGCATGAGAGACAGAAAGAGAGATAGAGAGAGAAAGAGATCGGTTTATGGAGAGACCCTTGGGAAGGAAAAAGCTTCCTTCCAGTCACCTTGGTTATCCTCTTTCGGAATCAAAGGCGAGAGTACGTTAACTAATCAAAGAGCATCTAGAGAGGGTAGGGGAAGGATTGGTCAATCGAATGGTACGACGCTTGATAGAGATAGATCGAGGCACGATCCGTACTTCCAATCGGCGTCGCGACGTTGGTCACGTGCCAGCGAACTACATATACGCCAGCAATTCGATTGGATTAGCGAAGATATAGCATTGAGAGAAAAGAAATATCTATCTTTCTCGGGTTTAAGAGAAGATCGGTGTACATTTATAGTACATAAGGTGGGTCGAAGCCAGACGGAAAGTCGTAATAACATAATAATTCGTTCAAATAATTCGATATAAATACTTTATAAATAAAATATTAACGTGTTTTTATTCGTGATTAAAAATTTCATAAAGTCATAGGTACTTTTTAATAACGCAAGAGTTTCAAAAATTACGAGTTTCTAAGGCTAAGAACGAAAAAGAAAATCGAGCGAACGATAGTGGCAAAATGATGCAGGTGAAGTACATCAAAGGAAGGTGCTTACGACCCTATTTGTCCTCTCTTCCTCTATCTTCCATCCACACCGGCTATATCTTCGCTCATCCGGCTAACCCGTAGATGTCACCTCGCATAACGCGTGTTCCCCTTAAGCTCGTGGCATAAACCCCCATGTCGGACCGAGTAAAAGACGCTAAAAGTTTTCCTCCACTTGGAAAGTTATCCTTCGCTCGCATCTTTTTTCCTTCCTTCCTACTATCCTTCTCGTGCTATCCAGCAGTATTGAAAACTCTTTAACGAAGTCTATCATTTTGCACAATCAATTACCACCTGACGCATAAAAAACTAGTTCAAGAGTTCGCGTAGCGTAAATCAAAGATCATTGCGATCGAAAGTAATTCATTAGAATTTTAAATAAACTCGATAAATGATATTTCTACCTTGATCGATCACATTTTGTAATATTTTTTATAATTTCTTAATTGTTCCTCGTAAAATAATAATCGAAAGAGACTGGCTATACGTGAGATTTCTTGATTGATTTATCATTGGCTCCGGTTGTTCTACCAAATTGGAACGATATCGTTTCGCTGACTAAAGTGTTTGGAACGCGTTATTATAATCGATGTCATTTTCTCCCCGCACGAAACGTTCGTAATTTAGTGCGAGCGATATACTTTTAGGGCTCGAGAGCCGATCGTTAATGGTACCAGGGGGAAGTCAGCAATGCACTCGAAGGAATATAGCCGTCGACTTAAATGAATATCGAACGCTATAGAAGCTTGTAATGGCTTCCTTCCTTTTGCTGTTGTAATTGATTGCGTCGAGTTAGTCGATAAAAAAAAAAGAATATACTATCTACGTACTCTCTTTCTTTCTCCCTCTTTTCTTCTTCTTCTTCTTCAATTTCACAACGACTTCAACAAAAATATATTCGTGACCTTATTCGCATAATAGAAATTTCTTTTCCATCTTCGACGATGGTGGAAACCGTCGAGGTTATCGATTTGTTGTTTGTTAACCTTAGCACGCCTCGGGCGTACATGCGCGTCAATGATGCAATGTCTTGGGATTAACGAGAAAAGCGATTAAGTTCTTTCTAGGGAGGATGTTCGGTCTTCCGTGTCGATTGGCTGAATTGGAAGGAAAAGTTGGAGAGGAGAGAGGTTATCGGTACAGTCGGCGGAGGCTGAAAAATGGTAGAAGGGCGCAAAGTTAAAGATATCCGGAACGTCCTCTCTCTTTGCCGGTGCTCCTTCGGATAATGTATGTGGCGATTCTACAAAGTTACAGGTTTCAACGAACAATGGCCCCTGGGAGTTTCGTTTCACGGCTCTCAGGATCCGCCACTTTCGAAACTTCGCCAATATTTTAAGGGACGAAGCATCAGCCGAGTTCTCTTCCGCGTACGGCCTTACAGCAAGCTTAGACTCCTCTACGAAAAACGTTTAATAGTCTCAGGGGTCGAGTGTGTTGCAGTCGTTCCGCTCAAGACGTACGACGAGGCTATACTCGTTTATTCCTTCCGAAGGAAACTTTAACACTATCCTCCCTTTACTTCTAATAGCTTCGAGCCAATCTCCCATATTCCGCCCATTTCTTCGATAACGTTTTCTTTTGGATAAAGAGAGAATCGATGGATTAAAGTGTTATCACTTTGTTGTCGATATGAAAACTCGTTTTATCGAGGGAAAAAAAAGAAAAAAGGGAAAAAAGAAAATAAAGGAAAACATATCTAAAAACCGAACGAAAGTGAGTATTTCTATTCTACGCTCTTCGTTATCTTCGAGGATCTCGGTTATGGAGATTTTTTCTCCATGTAAAAATATCCTACGTAAATGTATCTATGGTACAACATCGAAGGGAAGAACGAACATTTTTATTGGATCAACTAAATCCTTTGGCTTTAGAATCGAGGACGCGTCAAACACACAGTATGAAAAGCAAAGGAATGGAACGAACGCTATAAAGCCAGGCCTGGAAAGCAATTTCTCTCGTATTATTTCCCACTAGATTCCATTGCGTACGTGCTCCTCTTTGCTAGTAAATCCATAATACATCGTTGCTCCTGTGTCTCCCCTTTCAGTAGTCACCGTCTATCCTTTTCCCTTTGCTTCTCGAACGATCGAATGAAGAATAATCGTTATCTTCGTTGTATTAAAGGAAAATCAAATACAGCGAGAAAAAGATAGAATGAATAATCGATTTCTTATATCTTCTTTACCTTCTTGATTCTAGTAAATCAAAGAAGTACCCTAGGGATCAGTCCACTCGTTGACACGTAATCGTTTCTTCTCGTTTTTTCTTTTTTCTTTTCACACGACTAGAATAATTTATTATCGATTATAATGGATTATTTATTTTTATTTACATTTGTTTATTCCTCTACTCATGTAGAATAGTGTTATTTCGAGAATCATCGAAACGAGAGAATAAAGAAAAGTAATATTTTTCTGGTGCAAGTCAATCCGCTCGAGCAATAAAGCTTGAGAGTTTCGTTACTACCATTGGATTAACGATCGTACTTTTTGAATACGAGGAAATAAAAATGACTATAATCCAGACGAGTCACCGAATGCACGGCCATTATATACATATATATATATATATATATCTAGAGAGAGAGAGAGAGAGAGAGAGAGAGAAATAGAGAGAGTCGTTCTCTTTGACGTCGTTTCGTTGATCTTACCGGCGTTTATGTCGTCGACGGCCGGTGACCGGCACGATTTCAAAGAGCTCTGTCGTTTCCCTTTCAAGACTTTATGCGGATAACCCTACATTACGAGATTCTGCACGTACTACCATTATATGTCGTAATTTCTTATGGAAATAGCGCGTCGTCTAATGGTGGACCATTGCCATCAAGATGCCATCCGTGGAAATCTTTCCTCCTTTACTTTAACCCCTCGCTCCTCAACTTCTTCTTTCTTTTCACTCCTATCGCGTACACAGAATCCTTCAACGAGTCTCATCGATTTTAATATATTCTCACTCTCTTTTTATATATCATTCCACGAGTCACGAAATAATAGATATATATTTGTAATTTTCACTTTTAATTATATATTTAATTAATAATGCAATTATGTTTATTTATATATATAAAGATTTTGATATATTATACGTCCTTATATTCTGCAATAGAAATAATCGCCTTCGCTTAGAACGAGGTTGGAAAGTCGTAAAAAGAGGGGCGAAGGACGAGGGAGAAAGCGATGAGATGACGAGGAGAACGAAATAACATCGTCTTTGGAATTTAACGAGGGACAAAGGTATCGGGCGAGCTCCAGCTCTTATTCCTAGTGGTATCGCCGTCTGAAGCACCCTTGGACGCGTCCGTCAATTTCCGCGCTCGTTAGTCCGGTATTTATTCTCGTTTCTCCTCATTCACGTCATGCACCTTATACCGTGCCCTTTTCACCGCATTTGCTCGATTGATTTTAATTATTTTTCCATCTACCATCGTCGTCCCTCCCATCACTTTTCCTCGATTTCTTTTATTTCTTTTTTTTTTTTTTCTTTCCCCCATTATTTTGTAAAACACTCTGTTGATTATCGATATAAAAATCCGAATTTTTATCTCGATAATGATCTTCACTCGAAGATCAATGTCAAAGCTTCTTTTTTTAAGCTTCTTCAAGAAAACGAATCGTGAAAATTCATTTAAAAAATCTCGTTCGAAAACACGTCGGACTAAAATCATAGATGGTTACGTCGAGAGAACGGGCGGTTGAAAGAGGAAAGGGAAAAGAAGGGGAGTAGAGGTACCAGAAAGGGGAAAATTTAGTTCACCCTTCGATGACGGAGGAACAAACGAGTGTTTGTTCAGTGAGAAAAGCGTGATCAGTTACGCGAACG